ATAATGGGATCCATTAGCTAATTACACTTTATCATCAAACATGCATCAGTTGCAAACTGTAATATGAGAACTATATTCTGCTATCCCAGACCTTTCAGATTATAAAATCTGCCGTCAAAAAGGGATGTCAGTATTTCCTTCCCTGAAATACTTCATACTTCATAGTGACGGAATCCACTGATTCTCAAAAGATACAAAGCTGTACAAGACCAACACTGCCTTCTGAAGAGATGATTTTGCTGTCTGAAGTAAAAACTTCAGAGAATTTGCTTTGTTTATCATGCAGGAAATCTGAACAAATCTGTTCCCTAGTTAAAATTATCCACTCTGCTAAAAAACCACACAAAATCCTACAAAGTACAATCAATTGCAAATTGGGACATTTTGGTAGAAGACGTGGATATTTTGAAATGTGATTATGGACTATGTAGAAGAGTGTTTCTTTGTATTTCCCCCAAATGTTTTTTTACTGTCACGATAATTTTATATCCCATGACAATATATATAGAAGTAACTGATTGTATTTTGCCATAGCTCTTACCTTTCTATTAATGTTTTAGATAATACATGAGGAAGAGAATCTCACTATTTCTCCCATTATTTTTCCACTGAGAGCATTTTCCCTCCTTTTTAAACAGGAGAAAATTTAGAGGCTCATTACAGCTGGCCTTGTTAACATATTGACCTTGACTCTTTGTTGCCTTGCACTCTTGGCAGCCACATAATTCCATGCTAAGCGGAAGCTAAAACGCCGCCGTCCTCTGAATGTTTACCTTCTGAACTTACATGTGAATTTCATTTCAAACAGCTCAAGATCTGAGCAGAGAACCATCATCACGATTTCACATGGAAGTCCAGTCACTTGCTGTTTTAAATTCCAAACTACATAAAATCCCAGAAAAAACAAACCCCACGCAAGCACCTAAGTCACAAAAATCTTCAATATATTTGACTCCTGTGTTGCCAAATAAAGTGTGAGCATTCAAGTAACAAATATGTTCAAATTTAAAATTCATGGGTTGCACTGCATCAGCCTGACAGTGTTGGTGGGCAGTGGACTGACACAGGTTTCGGACTGCAGTGTGGTACTATGCTCCACACTGGCAAATTTCCAAAGAAAGATTCATTGCTGCTCTTCTCAGCCCAGCTCACTGGCTCTGCTAGCTCACCTCTGTCCACCTCCTGCCATTCCCTTCCAGCCCTCCTCCCTGTGGAGCCATGTTATATACACAAGGTTTGTGCTCCTGTCACAAAGTGAATAAACAAGCGGAGATGCTGTCAGGGACATTCCTTACAGTGCTACATCCTGCTGCCCTACCCTCACTGTTCCCAGAAAACTGAGAGAGAGCTTCACTGCATGTGGCTGGTCTGTGGGAGATGAGCAGGCTCAGCATAGCCTGCAATGAGGTCAAAGCAGCCCCAGGAGGAGGTCAGCTAGTGAGACTCTCAATCCCTTAAAGCCTCACTAAATGCCCACATAAAAGATTTAGTAGTTGTAAGAATCTTGTTGCTACAAAGATACACAACACATCATCTGTGTATAATTAGTTGAATGACTGTGAAATAAAGTACTTAGATTTCTGTAAAATCCAAATAGTTTTCCTTCTATTAGGAAACAATAAAATGCCCTATATATAGATGAGTACAACACTGCCAGATTTCTCTGAGATGCTCTTTCTGCTAAGAGCGGTTTACCAGCAAACATGCCTTAATTTCTCTGGGTCAGATTATTCCCTATAGGAGTCCTCACACTGGTGCAAAATTAGGTTAACAAAAGGAAAAAAAAAAAAAAAGGCCACCAAACAAATGCCTTACATTCCACAGGTGCAATTATTTCACAAATAAAAAAGGAAGTGAACACAACATTTTGTAGGTGGTGCTTGCAGATTCTTACCATGTATTCCTTTTAAAATCTGAGATACTTTAACATTTTAAAGTACTCTGCTCTCAGTAAAACTAAACAGGGATATTGTTGGTGCTGGGACATTTTGTAGAAATATAGTGTCTTACCTGAGGGGTTTATTTTCCATTATGGTGTCTTTTTTTTTTCCCCTTGTTTTGTGCTATTCATGTTCCAGTTGGCTCTTACAATGTTACACAGCCTACAACTTCTTAGCTCTTATTCCTTTTTTTGTGCTAGAAAGCAAAGGGAGCAAGCAGCACAAAGCCATTAACCTTATTTTCCAGGCCAACTTATCACTATATGTTGGTTATTGTCTTCTTTTGCTGATAGAAGGCAGAAAGATAAATGTATGTAGGCATATCCCTGGCTTTCACACAGGCTCCTCTAGGATGATTGTTTTCGGTTCCAGGAAGAGCATGCAGCAGATGAACATTCAAATGAGGATGAATTTTAAAGGACCTAAGAAAGCATGCTCCCAAAATGGAAGTTTTATACATGTTAAAATCACCTATTTAATGGTATACTTCATATTAAAACACAGGTTTTCAGTAGCAGACCTTAGATAATGCCCACACAGGAAATAGATTTAGAGTTGCTTTCTTTTTCTTTAGAAGTTCCCTGGACACCCAGCAAAACTGAATTACTAATGGCTCACCTTTGGGTTGATCATAAGTATTAGCTGAACCCTTTGGTCTAACTGGGTTAATTAGGTATTATGTTTTCTCTTTTTCACCTAAATAAAGGTTTTATAATGTCTTAATATTCCAGCTCCTGCAGCTGCTTTCATTGTGCAAGTTTTAAAGATCTCTGGTGCCCAGCCACCTGTTTTCAGCAAACAAGTAAAACCTGTCTTGGCTCTGAAATGTCCACTCATCCTTAAGAACTAACTGAAACTGGCCATTCCCCTTCCTCCCATGATAGGAAAAGGCTGGATGATAGACACGTGTGACTGCATAAACACTGTTCCTTAGGAAACAGCCTTGAAGAAATAAATCACTGTTTGGATCACATGTTAAAGCTTTGTACAATTGAGGGTTTGAGATGTGCTAAATCTTACACGTTCTGCACAGTCCTATTCACTTGAACAGAACTAATCACTCCAATTGCATAAAGCTAAGTGCTTGTTTAAATCCTCACATGACTGATGACTAATGTTCAGTATTTAAAATCCTGTCCAAAGACAAAGCAACTGATTGTTTTATTTGAGCAGTCAACTTTCTAATCATCATAGTAATTCAAATCTCTATCATTTAAAATGTCTAAGAAGCATGACCTCGCTTCATCAACAGATTCTCCTTTCGTCCTTCTAGACAATTTTGCATACTATATACCACTGCATTAGAAGTAAAATATTTTCAGTCTGAAAGTGACTTAAACTTCATGCTTTATGATAGGTATTAAAAAGAAATAGATGGAGACAGAAGATAAATTTGATGGGGCTCCCTGAGTGCACTAAATCTGAAGAAAACTCTGAGTTGATTTTAAATGTACCCATCACTGAGTATTTAAGCGGGCATGAGGCAGTTTCCGAATTTGTGTCAGTGTGCAGTGCTAGACGCGAATACAGGGCTTACTGCTTCATCCTCTCCAGCTTACCAGAGTTGAAAATTATAAAGGCCATGGAGTTTGTATTGTTGCATCTCTAGGAGGTTCAAAGAGCGACTGTGAGCCTTTCGGGCACGGCAGCATTTTGCTCCCCTTACATTAGAAGCCCACCTGGGTTCTGCTTTGTGACCGGGGCCCAGCACAGTGCCCCGCGGTGTCAGCAGCGGAGCGGGCCCCTGGCGGCTGCCCGGGCTCTCTGTGCCCCGGCTCTCCGTGCCAGGCTTTCTGTGCCCGGGATCTCTCTCCGTGCCCGGCTTTCTGTACCCGGGATCTCTCTCCGTGCCCGGGCTCCCTCTTCGTGCCCGGGCTATCTGTACTCGGGCTCCCTCTCCGTGCCCGGCTCTCCATGCCCAGGCTTTCTGTACCC